AGGGCTTATTGGATGCCCTGGATGACTGGCCCCATTCAAAAAGGCGTATGAACCGGACTCTGGTCACCGGCTGCCAATGGATTGTGGACTCCCTACTCCACTCCTACTGCCTTGTAGGTCACACTTGGTTGTGTAAAGGCTAGAGTTGTACTCTCAAAAAAAAGGCCGAGCGATGCTGGGGACATCACTCGTACCCAATTCCATGAAACTTCATGGTTCATGAAGCCGGCTCATCCTCTCGTAGGAGATAGCCGAAGTAAAGTAAAGTAAGTACGTACTTTGGTTGGTTGATTTGCTTTTGGTCTACACGGAAGAAATACTGTAGGAATTGTGGGTATAAGAAGTTGTGTTAGTGTACTTCATACTTTCCGTGAACGTCAACACTCCCTGATCTCCTAAATTGGTGTCCCATAGAGCAGACAAATCCGGTGTGTTTGTTCCACTTTGCAATATCGTTTTTACGAGCTAGTATAAACCAATTTGATTTCTTTGTGCTCGCCTGTTGATTGTGAGGTATAGGTTCCTGATCTTAGGTAGACTTCTGCGTAGCTCGTTCCGCCACTCGACTGTCGCAGCTTTGGTTGACTCCAAAAGGAGTAGCCCTAGGATTAATTATATGTGGTTTGTAGTATTAGGTGTGTTAAGACTGTTACTACTGTGAATGGAGTTGATCCTTTCACCAGTTAGTCCTCTAGTATCGTCGTCAAAAGAAAAGAGATAACAATAATAGATATAATTAGTGAAGTTATTCAGACTAACAAACAGAAGAAGAAAACGTAACAAGTCAGCTGATTAAATCTGAAGAATTATATATATATATATATACAGGTAATAGTGATAATAATAAGTGTAGTCAAAATTGTCAAGAGAGTAAGACAGGAGAGAATGTAAGAAGTAAAACGACGAACTTAGTTGTCTACTCCTGAATGATGTATGCGATTTTAAGGGTTAGGCCATTTGGATGCAGTCCTTATGTCGCTGCATGGTTGTCCAGCCTTCGCTTAAAGGCGTCCACAGACGGTGCCATAGCTACATTTGCCCGTAAGGAATTCCAGGGATGGCAAACCCCTAGTGAAAAGAAGTGGGAGCGCGCCCGAGTTCTTATCCTCTGGCGGGCTATCCTTCTGGGATTTTCACGAGGAAGCCTATACCTACTCAATGGTAGAACACCTTTGTTTGGGTGATTCTGGTCATCTGTTATTTTGTAGGCAGTAATCAAATCCCCCACCCTAATCCGACGTAAGCTAAGTGTGAATAGGCCTAATTTCTTCAGCCTTTCATCATATGGTTTTCTTTATCATACTTTAATAAAGTCTGTTTACTATTGTTGACCAAACACTTGATAATTTTCTTATTATGCACAATATGAGTAATTTTCAGCGTAGTTCATTGCATAATGTTTTCTCTTCATTAAGGAATTTTAGTTAAAACAGTCATCTCCAGTACATCGTGTGACTCAGTGATGTTAGCTTTGAAGAATAAAATGGCATTCTTCTTTGATCCTCCAGAATTGCATACCAGCAGATTGTAAACCAATTAAAAAGGTGTATGAGTACATTAGGCGACCCACAGACATCATTGCATGATTATAACAACGAGAACTAAACCAAATAAGATGCATTGTCTCAGATGGAAATTCAGGGTATTCATATCCGACTGACTGCCACCCAACCTATATCCAAGCTCATACTCTTTTTGGCTAGACAATACAAAAAAACATGGTCTCTGTGCGCTGAGGCCGACTTCCATCAATGTGGATTCTCTGACTCACGCTTACAATTCGTGGAAGTTATATGCACTCTACCACAGGAATTCAGCAAGCGAGTTACCACGCGTATATTCACTCCAGAGGTAAGTGACCCCTGCGAGATGCTAAAAGTAACCATCTTAAAGAGAAACAATCTTTCGTGTCGACATCGTCTTGACGAATTCTGCTGCAGTGTCGAGTTGGGTAATCATTCGACCCCACATATGATTTCACGATTGTGAGAAGTTACCAGCTAACGTATATCTGATGAGAGACTCTTTAGAAAGTTGTTCCTGTCTAATTTGACATATGCAGTGCAGACTGTGTTTATGACACTTAAAGGGGTTTCATCGGAGACTTGGTGGCTTCAGGTGTGATAGGGTTCTGGAAATATCGCTGCAGCCAGTCACTGAAATGTGCTCGAGCAGTTAGTATATGTCGCACAACAGGGAACTCTGGCAATGTACAAACCAACTAAGAGCCTATCACCCAATAAATAAGCAGAAGTAGGTGACGACGGATCGGGCATACAACACTGAGGAGACCGCTGAGAGACATCACGCGCGTCAGACCACCTCTCAAGTGGAATCTGAATTGGAAACGATGAGTCGCTTATCAGTCCAATGGGAAATTACTTGGAGGAGATCGTTTGAGGATGAGCCAGATAGAGACAACAGGATGAAATGGCAATGTGCTGCGGAAAGCCTGGTGAATAACTGTGAGAACATGATCCTCAGTAGGGTCTTTTACACAAAAAGAAAACACAAAATACCATCGACGGAAAACCCCAATTGTATTCCTAAGACAAATAATGATTTAAATAAAAAGAAACATTGAAACATAAAGGCAAGTTATAGTCTGAAGCGATATACATAGATAGATAGATAGATATAATGTTCATATCTGTGAATGCCAAATAAGAAATGACTAGTTTCATGAATATACAAAAAGCCAGACAACGAGAAAAAAGTAGTAATAATAATAAACCTGCAAAACACATTAAAAAATCAGCTTTACACACATACGAGAGTGGGGTGGGTGGGGGGGGGCAGGAGGAGACACAAACAGGAGAGACCGTGTGATGAAAAGAGAAGCAGAATTAATCATTCCCCTTTTTCCCTGTAAATCGCAAAACAATGATTTAAAGATCAAAACATACGCACAACAAAAATAATGGTGATGATAATAGTAACAATAATAAGCAGCATAATGTTAGGCGCAGAAGTAGAAATTTTCGCAAGAAATACACCACCCAATTATACTACTCATAAACAAAAGAGACAACACAACACATTGCACACACACACACACACACAACAAAACCTCAAGTTAGACCACAAAAAAATAGAGAAATCATACAAATCATCATAGGGTTGTTGTTGTTGGTGTAGTAGTTATTATCATTATTATTATTATAAAAGACACTGGCATATATAATAATAAGAAAGTCAGTCTGCAGAAGCACAGAAATGCTCAGACCTTTAAGTAGGAGAAGTCACTGGAAAGAGAAAAGATACATATATATAAAGCGAGTTTCATCTTCTCAACAATGAATGATCGATTATATATATATATATATATATATATATGGATATTCTCATAAAATTATTTAGTTACCCTAAATTTTGCATAAGAATATAAAGAGAAGCAGCTGTCGGAGTGGCGTGAAATTCAAAACAGAAAATAATAATAATAGTATGTATCATTAGGCAAAAATTAAAACTTGATGTACGAGAAATAAATAGAAAGTAATAAACGATGTCGAAATTGCAGATGATTTTAGTTGCTTTTTGTTTGGCGAAATTTTGGCGGCAGCGGTAGCGACAGCAGCGGTGTTGGGGTTGGCGTTGGCGACGGTCAGCAACACATACACGATGCATGAGGGAGTTAGCTTCTTTTTGTTGTTGTTATTGTTTTAATTCCAAATTCTTAAGAAGCTATCCCATGATCCAGTGCATACTGCCATGCCATCTTCAGTAACACCTAAGCAAGACACCCGATTGTCATGACCAGCTAGAACACCTGAAATTTGAATGTTTTGTATTAGTAATGTGAATGAATAAAAAAACACTACAATTTATCGAAAAAAACACTGGCTTATAATGAATGAAGAGTTCAAGTGATGGTTTGTAGGGATTTGATTGGTTTCAGGATTTCATGAGTTGACATTAGTTAGAGAACCATTGGAAAACCTGGGAGTACTGGACAGCTGTTTCGTCCTATTTTGGGACTCTTCATCAGTACGCACCCACCGGGATTCGAACCCAAGACCTTCTGGTTACAATCCGAGCTCGGCTTGTAACCGGAAGGTCTTTGGTTCGAATCCCGGTGAATGTAGAGTAATTAAGCTGTAACACTTTTTTGGTATGCTGTGTGTCACAATGGACTTCAGTCACCGGAAATTTTAGTAGGATGGTAAATCAAATAATGAACTTGTATGGCGCCTGGTGACACTCCTCAGTTAGTCACTGCTTAGACTGAAATAGGTGGAGCAGGATTCGAATCCTGATAACACATTTTCATAAGAACAGAACTAAGTTAAAACTGTAACGTACACAAACTATTAAAATAAAGTCTGACATTAAGAAACAAATAGATTTCCTATAAAAGAGAAATATTTGTGTGTATGGTGGTGTGTGGGTGGTAGTTCAGCGGTAGAATGTTCGACAACCAGGTATGTAGTTCTGGGTTCGACTCCACGCCAGTGACGCACTGCTGAACTTCGCTAAGCCGGTGAGTAAGGCCAGTTAGGAGGGAAGATTGAGTGTGTGGTAAGAAACTCCACCTCATAAAAATGAAACCACGGCTACCTGAACTACTTCAAAGCTCTAGCTTGAAGCCCTATGTTCAACTCTGAATGTAAGGGAATAAATAAATGTTTATTCGAAAGTGATTTATAAGTGGGAACCAGTGCTTGCCGACTGACGTCACGACTGGAGTGGGCAAGACAACCAACTATACATCAAACGATGTATGTACTGCATAGCATTTCACTCTACTCTTCAGTATGACTGTGAGACGTGACCATTGGAAATGGAAGATATTGAAAGACTAGTTGTCTTTGACCATAGGTGTTTGCTTTCTATCTCTTGTGTTACATGGCATAATATGCTAAGTACTACTGAAGTTAGATGTCGAGTGTTAGTTAAGGATGGAAAATCAAATCGATGAGCTTCCGAAGCTGCATCGACGTGTTTCGCATGCTGAGCCTCCACCTTCATCAACGAATTTTATTTTATTTTTATTTTATTTTGATTACAGCTTGATTCCACACTGTATTTTTGGTACAAGTATGGAATTTTCAGCATGGATATCGGTAGCCCAAATTTTGCAGGCCGACCATAGATATCAGGTGTTCGTCGGCAGGGGATCGAACCTCGGACCATGTGCATGGTCGATGAGAGTCCTAACCACTGTGCCACCGACGCACAGGCAAGCTAACATAGGACTAGGTTGGAAAAGGGCTAGAGGTGGTCAAACCAAAATCTGACATCACTCTAGGAAGACTTTGACAGTTGTTTCGAACCAGCCCCGAAAGGAGATGTAGACGACTTGTTTTGAGTTCTGAAGACACTGAGAACTATTGGGTAAGTAGTCTGTTGGTGATTTAGCACAAAATAGTTGTCAGTGACACAGATGCTTTCACTCTATAATCACCCGGTTTTCATGTTCACCCAGGTTCTCATGTTTCTACACGTGATTATTCTTTCGCCTGTACATTTCTGTTTATCTTAATTCTTTTAAGTTCCTTTCTTCTCTCTTTTGTCTACATTTGTCTGCTCCATGTAATGTAGGAAGCTGAACTGCTACACTTTTGTGCAAAGTTCTATGTTGAAACTCAATCAACCAGGGAAGTAACTATGCTTATTTTAGTCAGAAAAACGGTCAATTCAAGCCATGTGCACAAAAAGAAATCAAGGAGAATCAAGCAGGGGATTGGTAATCATGAAGATATTGTTCAGGACAATAGAAGTGTATTATTTTAGAAACTGGGAGTCAATGGTTCACTGGTACAATAACCATTAACCACACACGGGGTTTGGGGTTCGATCCGTAGCCAACGCACTCCTAAACCCTGCTTAGTGTCGGTAGTAAGCCAGGTTGAGTGTAAATAAGGACACCACTAATGAGACTTTAAAGCTCAAGCTTGTAGCCTCACATTCTACCCAGAACGCAAAGAAATGAGACAAAATTGTACAAATCAATCTTAAGTAGGAGGTGAGCTTAAAACGAAACCCTTGAAATTACCCAACAACAACAACAACAAACATCGAGGCCAGTAAAGCTACTTACCGCAGCGTTCTTGTTTTAATGTATCCCAAATATTGCAATTAAAATCATCATATCCACCGAGAAGAAGTCGACCACTTCTGCTGAAAGCTACACTTGTAATTCCACAGATAATATTATCATGACTATACATTCCAACTTCTTGATCAGATCGTATATCGAATAGGCGACATGTAGCATCATCACTACCTGTTGCAAAAGCCATACCATTTGGAAAGTAGTTGATAGCATTGATATCAGATTCATGTCCAGAAAATGTTTGCTTACACTGACCATCTCGTAAATCCCATAACTAAAAATCAAAATACGTATATTATATATCAAGGTGTATGAAGAGTGTTTTAAACAGTGAAAAGGGAAAACTTTAAAAATGATTATAAGAACATAAGACATAAATATGGTATGTGCTTACTAGTGTATTAAGTGAGTTATAGTTGAAAAGTAATTGTGATATCAGCTGTAAGAAACTTTGAAGTATATGTTTAAATGGTAGGGCAGGTAGCAAGAGAATCATACTGCTTAATAAGAAAATTTATTTCTGATAGTTTAAGATGTTTACTTCGCAAACTAGAACGGACTCGGTATCAACCGTACATACACGCGCGCGCATACATAACGTTTTCCATGTTTAACACCGACTGTTTAAAACACGTGAGCACATATTGCGTCACCTTGTGCAGTCTAACAGTAGGACAGTCTAACCACTGATCAGACTTCTGTTGCTTATAGTGAACAACGGGGAGTAGGAAAGGCAGGGGTGTTTGCGTTGTATCTCTAACATTAACTGGTATAATAGGATGAGTAATATTGAGGTTAGGCAACGGTCGAGTGCTAGGTAAGAAAGGAAAATCAATCGATTCGGCTGCTTCACAACCTCATCGATTGAGATAGTCAGAACATGTGTTACGCTTGCAAGCCACGTTATCGATCGCTTTCCTCGACAACAGGCAATGTTAGCTGACCAACATAAGATGGATATCAGCTTGGAAAAGAGCCAGTGGTGGTAGTCAAACCAAAACATGGCTTCATTAGTCAATGAAATCCATAACAGTTAGTTTAAGCCAGCCAGCCAGCCACGTAGGGAGGTTTATGCTCCTGGCTGGTTGGAGTCCTCGGTTTGGTAAAAACCAAAGGCGGTTGGAGACCGTTGGTGATATGACTCAAAATATTAGTCAATGGCTGGCGCAGATGCATCCACTCCTTGTGATTTATAATATCCAATCAAATCCTAATGTTCTTCCATATGACTATTCTTTTTGCCTCATATTTCTGTTTATTATGTTTCTTTTGAATCTCTCTTTATTATGTTCTCTGTCTATGTGTGCTACAAGGCGGTTGTGTGACAACTCGAACTGCTGCACATGTGTGCGAAGTTCTGTGTTGAAACCAGTCAGTCAGTCAGTCAAGAAAGGCATGTACGTCGATGATTCAGTGGTAGCATGTTTCGCCAACCACGCAAGTGGTCCAGATTCTATTTCTGGCTGACACAGGCCCAAACTACACCTAGTTCACTGACTGGTAATAGTCCCAGAAAAGAGGTAAGATTCGACGTGAAGCTAGCACACTCATTTAGTAAAATCAATACCATTGTTACTGAAGCTTTTAAAAAAACTTGAAGACTCTATGCCGCACACAGAACACAAAGGACTCAGTATACACTAAAGAAGGCAGATTTAAAATACCTCTCACGAAAAGGATCAAAATACTACTTCTAAAATTCTAGCATAGATGAGGAACATCTGTCACGCATGCATACATACATACATACAGAGACAGTTCACTGGGAACATTTGACGATTTTACAAGAAGCAACATTTTAAACACTTGACACAAAGGAAAACTACAGCAAATTAATTACAGAGTTAAGGTCAAGAAGAATAACTGATAATGGTGACTACTATCGGGTACTTTTAATTCAATGCCAATTAAGACGACAAAACACACCAGTGTATGCAGTAGTTCGATATTCGCTTCATTTTATATTACCACTCATCTCAGTAAAAACCTCTTTTAAATTCAGAGTTCCTCGCATAAATAATTTAATCAGAAAATTCATTATTGTTCGACCTACAAGTCCAACCAACAATAAACATGTACTGTGCTGATTGCTCATAAATCAGATAAGTGAATGTGAAAATCGACAGGGGTTCAAAAATCAAAACTACTATAAAAGGTAAAACAGTGTTCAAGAACCGAAACTGACTGACTGACAGGTTGGGTTCAACATAAAACTCTGTAGAGAAGTTCAACAGTTCCAGCTGATACACTCCATGCAGCACACAAAAGTAGAGAAAAGAAGTTCAAAAGAATTTTAATAAGGAGAAATATGCGGCAGAAAGAATAGTAACATGAAAGAAATATTTGGATTTAATGAGTATGACAAATCACAGAGAGTGAATGTATCTGCGCTACTGACAACGATTTAGAGACATACATCACCAATTGTCAACGACCCTAACCAGTGTCACAAATCCCCTAACCATTTCGGTCGAAGTAACTTCACAGCCTCATCGATTGACTTTCCCTACTCACCTAACACTCGACCGAGGCTTAACCTCAATATTACTCAGCCCTATTATACCACCTGACGCAGTAGATAGAACGCAGGCACCCATGATCAAAGACAGTTTAGCCTGTCTTTTCATGTCCTCCACTTTTAATGGTCATGTCTCACTTACAAGTACAAAGGAGGACGGAGCAAACTGCTAAGAAGTATAGACATCCGTTGATCGTTAGTCGGATAGCTGACATAGGGTCAGGCTGGAAAAAAGCTAGTGGAGGTCAAACCAAAACATGCCTTCACCACTCAATGAAATCCACAACAGTTAAAGCCACTTAGAAAGGTGTAGACTTCCTGACTGGTTGGGGTCCTCGGGACGGTAAAACCCAATGGTTGGAAACAATTGGCGACATGGTTCAAAATCGTTCTCATTGACTGGCTCGCAGATGCATCCATTCCTTGTGACTTCCAATGAAACTACATTGCTCTTCGTTATTACTACTCCTTTGTCTCACACCTCTGTTTACTGTCTCTATTAGGCATTTCTTTAACTTTCTTCTCTCGCTTTGTGGGCTACAAGGAGGGAGTGTGTCGACTTGAACTGCCGCATATATGTGCAAAGTCCTATGTCGAAAACAGATAGACAGACAGACAGTTAGTCGGATATCACATCTACCCCAGAGATGGTGTAAATTGGTGAATGCTACACAAGCCTTCTGTCTCAGTGCTGAGATTTCGTCAGCAATCAGCCTGTTGCGACTGATACAACTTCCCAAATAAGTGGAGGGGTCAACAGACTCTAAACCACTTCATTCCTAAGAACTGAGGGATGCTGATTAACATAATGTTTGTCTTAGACTAACTATATGATCGACTTTCATTTTATTCAGTAATAATAGTGTTATACTACAAAACCCAACTTGACTACTCTTAAAAAAGCTATAAAAAAACAATAGTAATTTTACAGTATACTTTTTTTCGTACAATTCACTGAGTGTTTAAATAACTTACCACTGAAAACCATAGAAACAAGTGAGGTAATGACATTCATTAGTGTTACTTTGTTGAACCTCACAAATAGAAACATTAAAAAGGAATTAATTTCTACAGGTTAGCGTCTTAGCTGCGAAACGATTCAAAAATAATACGTTAAAAAACGGTACAGTTAGAATCTGCTGGAAAAATTTGGATTATCTACAAAAAACGGCTAGACACTAGTGTTTCTATTTACGACTTGTTAGCTGTGAATAGAACTAAACGCCTCGTCTACATAGAACGTGTTTTTTGAATTCAATTACTGATTGTTCGTAAAAATTACCTTAGAGTATAACCACAGTCGTTGATATAAGAATATCACTCATACCGGAAATATGGAAAATACTACTACCAATCGAGTCAAGCAATAAAAAATGATGAAATTACATAAACAAGGTTAGAAGATTGTATGAGTACCCTGATATGATTATGAGCAATAAAGTGTGCTCGAAATCACCGAAAATACCCAACGAGTCATGAAGAAAATAAAAGACAGATTTAGTGAAGAAAATTTTTTACTTATCGACGAAATCATCTTCAGAGGCTGACATACAGTCGTATTTATACTTACAAAAATATATAGTGGTCTATTATTGAGTAACAGGGCGGGGGTGACATAACTGATATAATTATTCATAAGTGGCTTTAGAAGTGAAAATTAAAAGTTGTAAATTACGTGGTACTCAACGGCACAAAGATAGAAATTTGATAAGGCTAAGATCATCTTTCAAATTCATCTACAAAGTGAATCCAAATGGTGCAAAGGGAGTCAGGTTTCGGCTTTTGTGTATGGCGGAGGCCTTTGGCAATTCATCAATACAACCCTGAACTCTGTATACAGAAAAAGTCTGTCCAGTCTCTTATTCTACCTTGGTCTTAACCTCTTCACTAATCATTCCCTGTAAAAAAATTTTGATTTTTTCTTTTGGTCTTAATTTCTAATTTTACTCTTAGTTTGCTTTTCCTTTAATAATTAATTCACTATTATCAGTTTCATATGCTCCTTTTGTATATTTTCACACCCTCTTCACACTTGTTACATTTACACTCAACTGCCTTTATTCTCCCTCAAGAGCAATTTTAACATTATCAAACTTCTATCTTTGTGCCGTTGAATACCACGTAATTTACAACTTTTAATTTTCACTTCTAAAGCCACTTATGAATAATTATATCAGTTATGTCACCCCCCTTATTACTCAATAATATAATAATAATATTTTTGTAAGTATAAATACGACTGTACAGCCTCTGAAGATGATTCCGTCGATAAAGAAAATTTTCGTCACTAAATCTGTCTTTTATTTTCTTCATGTGCTCGATATGTCACCAGTAGATACTACTGTATAACACTAAAACTATGAGACTTTATCAAAATAAATTTTACCTATAGTGGAATTATAATCACAGTCATTTTTGAAGTTAACAATGACGGTCAGGGTGGTTAAACCAAAATACTGCATCAATTTACAACGTACTTGACAGTTGGTTTGAGCCACATACGGGATTCAAACTGTTTGAATAGTCTCCTAGAGAGGTTAAGAACCAATGGCTGGAGACTTTTGGTGATACGGCTTAAAATCATCCTCAGTGGTGTGGATGTATTCACTCTTCGTAATCACCCATTCTCCATTAAGTCCTCATGTTTATATATGTAATTTTTATTTATTTTTATTTTTGATTACAGCTTGATTCCACACTGTATTTTTGGTACAAGTATGGAATTTTCAGCATGGATATCGGTAGCCCACATTTCGCAGGCCGACCATAGATATCAGGTGTTCGTCGGCAGGGGATCGAACCTAGGACCATATGCATGGTCGGCTAGAGTCCTAACCACTGTGCCACTGACGCACTTCTCTTCCGAACATTACAGTTTATTATATTTTTTGGATTTCTTTTTTCAGCCCTTTTTGTGTGCTCTATACAGTATTGCTAGTTAAAATGACGCACTTTTGTGCAAAGTTCTAAACTGAAAACTTGATCAGTCCTAGTCAGTGATTGGTGATAAATTTCTCGAGATATTTTATGCGACGTTCACAAGTTATACACAGAAGTAAGTACTTCTCTGATCAAAATTATCGCATCAATCGATAGATTAGCTAACTTAGTATCTGTAAACACACTAATTAATATAGGAATGAACTCAGTGTTTTTTGGTAAAATTAGTGTCCGTTTATTCATTCCCAAAGCATTACAGAATGAAGGAAGAAGTAATCTCTAGAAATTGAGTTTCCATTCCTAACTGCCTGTAAACTGATAATTTGCCTATTTCATCATCCAAGTTAAGGTATCAAAATGAAAAGAATTCATACGAATACGTACTCATTCCACCATGAACATCTAGTAGTAATATTGATATTCAGTGTAGATGGTGGTGACTTGCAGACACATCAAAAGTTGAACTGCATTAAAAAGTATCTGAATGACAGACAGCTCTAACGAGAAAACCGAGAGAAATATCTTTTTCAAAATTTGTGTAATAACTAAATCGACAAAGTTAAACTTCAAGCACCAGTTAGTGTAATGACGGGAAAATGACGATCAAAACACCAACCATAAGATAAAGGCGACTTTTGCGTATAGAGTAGAGCACATACATTCATGGAAGTAACAAATTAAGGGGTATGAAACTGTTATACAGAGTACCGTACCTGTCTCTGACGTGTGACAAAAAAAGTCTCTGTTTCGGATTGGAATATCAACAGAGTAATTTAACCACATTCTATGTGCAGAATTATCTAGGTCTCCTAACCCTAACAATAACCCAAATCGAACCAACCATAATATCGCCCTCATTACGTTAATCTAGCCCTAGCCTAAACCTTAACTTAACCTTTCCCCAAACCTAACCTGAAACTTGCTAGATATCCCATTTCATTAGGCATAATATTTTATTAATGATTACAATACTATTTACCAGGAGCTCATTGAGCGTCTCAAGGTCACTGGAGCGACCACACTCCACTGATACTTACTGGTGCTGAAAGATTAACTTGGCCACTAAATCCTTTTAGTCACCACTGATCTCCTTTTAAGGCCAATAATTTGGTTTCACACCACTTGACCCACCTACTTACCTACCATAATTTTTTTGCATAGAATTGCCACACTCCATGAAGTACACAAGGGCAGAAAAGGGAGATAGGCAGAGAATGGTCCGACAGCGGAAGGCCCTCGGTTCGAACCCCGGTGGATGCGTACTGCCGAAGAGGAGTTCAGATTCTTTTTTGTAAAAAAGAAGGCTAGCCTACCAAACTATTCTTGCCTAACCAGAGTTATTTACAGTAATGTAGATGCACTTATGTCACATCATCTTCGACATTCTGAACATTCCCAATAATCTTCGCTAAACCAATTTTTCCTCAAAAATGTTTTTCCACTGTAGCACCATTAGATTTACGTTTCATTGTGTTCTCTGCTTTTCATACGACAGTATGAACCTGGTGAAAATTGTTTGAGGTTTCTAAAGCACTTAGTTATACAAGGATTTAGAACATTTATAAGTGAACAATAGTCAGAGAATGAATATGCCTTCATATTCATTCACTATAAGGAATGTGAGAGCTCTATTGAAATGCAACAGTTAAGACAACTTGACAACTGACGTTAAATAGATAATTTACCAGGATAAATCGTTAATATTCACTAAATTTTAACATGAATAAAGCAGATAGAAATTAAACCAGTGTTATTTAGATAGAATGACCTTTGTGCCAACAACTGTTTATATACACAAAAATAGCCTCGCCAGTTATGTTTTTTCATTGAACATTTTGCTATACCGATATGTTATAGTTAGTTATTTTAGGCAGTTATTTACTAGCAGCACACCTTTGCATGTTGTCATTTTTCAATTATATAAGGAGCGAATATTTCCTTTAAATTTCGATTAGGATAGCAACAGAATAAATATATAAATAGAAATTTAAACGAATGGGCTACATTGACTCGTAGCTTAAGGAAGATAGGGAATGAAGTGGTGGCTGAGCGTGCTGACCACTTCACTCACTTGGGAAAGTGTATCAGCCGATGCCAGTGGATTTATCGCTGACAAAATCTGAGCGCAGATACAGAAGGCTCCTTTGGCATATGTCGACTTACGCAATCTCTGGTTTATTAGACGTGATATGCGGTTGGCTGGTGACCATAGGGCATGTGTACTGCTCAGTAGTCCACTCCGTTCTCCTTTATGACTGGGAGTGAGGCAAGTCCATCGAAAGTAAAAGACATGTAAAGGCGAGAAATATTGAGGTTTGGCATCGGTCGAGGGAAAATCCAACGATGAGGTTGTGGTGAAGCAGCTGCACCGATTGAGATGCATATTAAAGACAGTAAACAGAGGTGTGAGACAAAGAAATAGAAGCAACGAAGAACAATGAAGTTTCATTGGAAATCACAAGTCACAAGGAGTGGATAAATCTGCGCCATTGAGAACGATTTTGAGCCATGTCACCAATTGTTTCCAACCACAGATTTTTACCGTCCCGAGAAACCCAACCAGTCAGGAAGTCTACACCTTCCTACATGGCTTAGACCAACTGTTGTGGATTTCATTGACTGGTGAAGCCATGTTTTGGTTTGACCGCCGCTAGCTTTTTTCCAGCCTGACCCTATATCCGCTAACATTTCTCGTCGAGGGAGGCGATGACCTGGCATACGTAACACATGTCCTAACCATCTCAGTCTATGTAATTTCACAGCCTCATCGATAGATTTCCCCTCCTTACCTAGCACTTGACCGATGCCCAACCTCAATATTGCTCACCTTATTATAACACCTCACACGGGAGATAGAGCGCAGGCACCTAGGATCAAAGATAGCTAGTCTTTTCATGTCTTCCACTCTCAATGGCCAGGTCTCGCTCACAGCCATAAAGGAGGACGGATGATGGCACAGATGTATCAACTACTTGTGATTTACAATATCTAATAAAATTCTAGTGTTCTTCTAAATTACTGATCTTTATCCCTCACGCTTCTGTTTATTATCTATCTTTTGAACTTGCCTTTACTCTCTACTCTTGCCTTGTGTGATACATGGAGTGTGGCAACTTGAACTGTTGAAACGCAGAAACCAATCAATCAGTATTAAGATAGTCTATCAGCATTTACAGGGTATTTCCCCAACCAAAGATCTCACTCGCTGACACTGATTGGCCAGGTTTCAACTTAGAACTTTGCATAGAAGTGCAGCAGTCCAACTTGACACACTTCATATCACAAACAAAGGTAGAGAAATGTACGGAATGGGAAATAATTACATGGAAAAACATGGGGACTTAGTGGATCTAGGAGAAAACAACTTTGAGGCCAACAGTCTCTAGGCACTGGTTCTTAGCATCGCAAGAGGCATGCAGTCTGTCTATACCTCTTTACTTGGCTCAAATCAACTTCAAATAGATTCATGTCATGTTTTGATTTGAACACTCCAAACTCTTTTGTAAACTAACTCCATGTCAGCTAACATTGCTTGCCAAGAGAGGTGGTGACTCGGTATGTATAACACGTGCCCTAACCATCTTAATCGATATAGCTTTGCAACCTCACTAATAATACATCTATTGATGTATGTGCTTGTGTTAACGAAATAAAAAGGTTAGCTTAGATATGATAGACAAGATTTGTAGCTCAGGTGGATGATTTTGAAGTCGTTGTGTTCTCTGAGCTGGCTGGTTACTTTGCGAAGCTTTCATCACCCTACTGGGTGACATCTTCAGCGCACACTTCAATTTGAAGTGAGGTTTCAGATTTCTCCACGAGTTTATTAATCATCTCTCCTGGTCGGTGACCTTGGACGTGATTGGTTGTTTTTGTGTGTTTTCACACCTTCTAGGTTACTTGTATTGGAACTAATATCGGACAAAAACTAGGAAAAGAAACCATAGAGCAATTACTTAGCAACCAACGACGAACACCTTCCACAACAATCAAAAATGCAACACACAAGCTGGATGGAATGCATAAACCTATGTCTAACAACATACTTCCAATTCAACGACCAAATATATGAACAAGTCAAAGGAACACTCATGGGATCGCCAATATCAGGTTTGATTGCAAAAGCAGTGATGCAAAGACTCGAAAACATAATTTTACCAAAGATCGAACCCAAGATTTGGATACGCTACGTCGACGACACATTTCTAATAATCAAAAGAAACGAGTTAGATAAAGCTCACAACTTAATAAACAACATCAAATTCACAAGAGAAGAGGAATCCGAGAACAAAATACCATTTTTGGACGTCTTAGTCGGGCGAACAACTACAGGAGAATTAGAAACTCAAGTTTATAGGAAATCAACTCACACAGACCAAATCCTGAATTACAACAGCAACAACCCAATAACACACAAAAGGAATTGCATACAAACACTATTCAAGAGAGCAAGGACTCATTGCAGCACTACCACCTTAAGGAAAATTGAAGAAAAGTATCTCATGGACGTCTTCCAAAAGAATGGATATCCACGGAATTTCATCAAAAAACATATACCCCCAAGCCAACCTATCAAAGCAAAAGCCACCAAGGAAACCACCATGGAAATCGTCCTATCATATATAAAGGATATCTCAGAAATCACTACAAGACTCTTCAAACCTTTAGGAATTGACGTCGTACACAAACCAACAAAGTCGCTTCACTCAATTCTGTGTCAACCAAAAGACTCAACAGTGAAAGAAGACAAAACCAACATCATCTACAAAATAAACTGTAACAACTGCGAAAAACACTACATTGGCCAAAGTGGATGTCCCCTTCGTCCTCGTACCCACGACCATAAGCTAGCCGTCAAAAGACATGATATCCACTCCCTCATTTCACTACACACAGACAACCACGGACATCAATTCGACTGGGACAATCTACGTTGAGATATTAGACAGAGGAAACAACAAGAATGCTAGAGAATTTTTAGAAGCTTGGTATTCCAGTGAACCATCGATCAATAAACACAGAGATAGACAAAATTTATCAACCGATAAGAAAGAAACTTCACACACAAAGGGTCAAAGTTCAAGTCAAAGAAACAATCAGTTCCAATACAACTAGCTGTCTAGGAGGTGTGAAAACACACAAAAACAACCAATCACGTCCAAGGTCACCGACCAGGAGAGATGATTAATAAACTCGTGGAGAAATCTGAAACCTCACTTCAAATTGAAGTGTGCGCTGAAGATGTCACCCAGTAGGGTGATGAAAGCTTCGCAAAGTAACCAGCCAGCTCAGAGAACACAACCACATTAAAAAGGTTAGTTTAAATACCCAAGATATCTATCAGTTATTCTTTATCATCATCAACAACAACATCATGGAGAAAAAACAAGGTTTAAACTCAACAGAAAAAAAAACCGCAATTAGCAGTTAGTGATAAAATTAAAACAGTTGGAAAGTTCAAGTCTTTCTTCTACGTGAAACAAAACGGCAAGCAGAAAAATAAACATGTAAGAGGAAAGTGTTTAACTAATACTCATAAGATTAGTCTAAAAGAAGATTTGTACGAAAGAGCAGTATAGCGGTTTATCAAATTAAGGCATTATAAGGGTTAATCAAGAAAAACATCATATAATACACAGGATATGCAAATTTCTCTAATAACATTCAACACTCAATTCAATTGGATTTTAGAATTAGGCTACAACTTACCTGTGAATTACTGTAATAAAGGGATAATGTGAAACAAAACCACAGGAATCAACGTATTCTAAAGGATTAACATAATAATAAGAATACCTTCTCTTTAAAATATTATCTCTATTACACCCTGCCAACTAAAAAAATCACACTATTGTAAGTTCTTGTTTACAAACGTTCTGGTTCATTATTATAACAGTTTTTGTATTTCCCAGTCAATGAAAAACAAAACGATACTTTTGTTTCTACTGACGTTTCGCTGTTTAATACTGAAACCTTTATCAAGAAGTATCATTAAACCAGAATTTACAAAATCTTCGCATATATATTAGCACAATATTCAGCGAAAAGACTCTTTTCCACGTGTCCCACTTGTCATTCTAAATCCAGGAAGGTTTTACAGTATTGAATCCTATCTTATCAAATTTCAAACCATGTTATGTAACATTTCATATTAGCCTACTAATCCTATAATCATGCATCCCTTTCCAACACCCATACATCTACATCTAGTCTATAGATGACACTAATTGTTTTGCCACTTGACATTTAACCATAATTATAATCACAAATATTTTAATTGCATTTCATACTACTACTATTATTATTTCATGTATTCACACCTTTGATCTAGTTTCCTCATCGGATATAATTTCTTAAGAACCACATACATGCAATTGTACAGCTTGATAATAAATTCGTTGAAAATAGTCCCTTCACCGAACATTATGTTCGTAATGCTACAATGGGAATTCTTCTTTCTTTTTTTCCTTCACGTTCCCCAGTGGAACATAGGGCTTCAAGCTAGAGGTTTGAAGTTTCTGTAGCAGTGTTTATTTTACAGGATGGGGTTGCCAGTCTCATGCTCAACTTTTCCTCTTTACCAGCATTATTTCTGGTTTAGCGAGGTAAAGGAGTGCGTCGGCCAGGTTTCGAACCCCGGATCATGTGCATGGTCGGAGAGCGTCCTAACCGCTATAGTAACTTCATTATGAGGTAATTTTCACGTTGTCAGGTTGATCAGTTTTGGTTAAGATAACAAAACAATGTATAGATTGTTGGATTTGATAAGCGCATGAAACTGTAAAATAGCATATATTTGCTTATCATATTTGTGCTGATTTTGTCACTACATGAAAGAGCGGTGCTGACGTTGCACAACCAGGTCAAATTCTACTCAAGTCCATCATTCTTATTCAGACAATTTGGATTCCATTTTATATAAAATACTTCTGATGATAATATCAGACGTTCTTTTTGATCCCTGGATTATTTCAACATTGTCAAAATCAATTTTGTCGTCTGATTCTATAGTGTGGCTGACGATTTTTCAAGTCCTTCTAGTCCAACTGGATTTCTCGGTGGTCGTCAGACAGATACTCTATGGGGTTCGTTTCTTTTGATCTTGATTTCGCTCTGATGAGGTTTGTCCAATGCATATCACATCACATAGATAGATACAATTGGATTGTGAATCTTTTGAAATTCGGTCTTTTGCAAGAACAAGGTTGCATTTTGGTGGGTTTGATTTCTTGAAGAAAACTCTAATATTGTATTTATTCGGTACCCTTCTGATATTGTTTTTGGTGTTTCTGATCTATATAAGATGACAACTGTTGAGGCATATGTCTTCGGAATACGTTTTCAACCATATCTAATGTCGGTGTTGATTTTGTTAATGAAGTTTCTTTGGATAAACCCCTGTCTGATGAACTATGATTAAGGTGTTATACATATAAGCTGATTTAATATCACTACTTTGATTAACCTATTAGCAGCATTAAATAGAGAAACGACAGTGGAAACAAAAGGATCGTTTTGTTTCCCATTGATTGGGAAATACAAAAACTGTTACAATAATAAATATCATATACACAACGCCCAAAGTTTTTTAAACTGTTAAAAGTGAACTTGGCTTGGACATATATATATATATATACAAACCTTCTCTCTCTTTGCTTTATTTTTATGAATACTAGTCAAATGACCATACGTTCCGTTCACCTTTTACGGGGAAAATGACCTAAAAGATATTTCTAAGCCACTAAATTATCAGCTCTGTAAATTTCATATGTAAATCATTGAGGAATTAAAGTGTAAATATTTGCAAAAGGTTCTCACAGTATGAAGTAAGCATGATACCACAAGAGGTGTAATTAAATTGACATTTCATAAAGGCTTCCTTAACAAAAAAGTAAAATGTTGAGGCCACATATGAATGGTAAGGCTACAACACACATACTAAAGGTATAATATATTACGAAGATTAAACAACAACGAAAAACACTGTGTAAAGTAAATAACACCCCGAATAAAATTAGTTCTCCGGCCTAATTAAATAAGACAGTCATTTGATGTCTCACACTACGTCAGTGGATTTTAAAAGCATTTTTACGATACCTGAATTGAAAAATACTGCGAAAAAAAAGAAAATAACTTAATCTTAATTAAGTTTATCTGGTATTATAACACAGTGATACAGGATACTGACAAACCACTAGAGTGTAAACCAATATAACATGCGTCTGGTTCTTGGTATCGGCACAGACTAACTTCTGTGAGTCAATGTAGTTTACAATGCAGTCATCAAGCTCACCACCGACGTGCACTCTGAATTGATGTCAGATGGTTGGATGCAACTGGTAGGAAGGCCTGGACCTAGGTTTTATGCCTGTTGATACTCATCAGCAAAATGGTTAACACCATTTAGTATGGTAGCATCCACAAAAGAAGACTCAGAGAGGTGCTAGAAGTGCATACAGAAGTAAAACAAGCAAGCTGCCTATTATCACCGATGATATTCTTAATTGTGGTGGACTGGATTGAGTCAGACCGTGGAGAGTGAGGAGACAGGAATACACTGGACTATCGACAATAAGATTCTAGAAGAACTGGATTTCGCAGATGATATATGTCTAATGTCAAACAAACTAGAAAACTTGCAGGCGAAAGCCATCAAAATGGTTGAAAAGGCAGCGAAGACAGGATTCCGAGTGCACATAGAGAACAAGGAGGTGATGAAGATAACCAACCAACCAAAATCAACAACCAGCAATGATCACAATCAACGGGAGAGATTTGACAGAGGTCACTTCCTTCACTTGTCTAGGAAGCACTGTTTCAACCACAGGCTAATGGCACGGATGAACATTTCAAAGCTGGCCAGAATCGGAAAGGAAAGATACACCTTCATCAACCTGGAACTAGTTTGGGAATCTACTGCACTCAGCCAGTATGAAGAACAAGATTCGGATTTTCAATAGAAGTGTGAAGTCACTTCTTCTGTACAGGTTAGAAACTTGGTAAGCACGTCACCAAAAGCATTTCCAACAGGCTACTTCAGACCTTTATCAACAGCTGCCATCACTTGCTCCATACTGAAGATCAAATGACCAACCATGAAGAATGGGGAACAAGGAACTCTAGCAACAAATCACCCAAGAACCGATTTCTCAATGAATATGTAGGAGAAAATGGAGACGGACCAAATATACTTTGAGGAGGCTGTTAAATGACATCGCGCTCAATGCATGTCATTGCTCAATTTGAATCCAAACGGGAGGCGATGAGTGCGTCTTCAGTGCGAAGGTGACATGGAGGAGATCGTGCGAGGTGTAGGAGATGAGAGATTACAGGTAATCATTGATCCAGCTGAAGAGGACAGCACCAAATAGAAGACAGTGGGGATGTGTAGTTCAAGCCCTATGTTCCGCTCGGAACCCAAAGGAATAATAGAAAATAATAATAATGGTGGCATGGTGACACCAAGGGTTAGGCGCATGACAATAGTTACACTCTAATGTCCAACCAATGTACCCATTACATCCCCACACGGTGCCATCTATGACTACAGCAAAGGGTGATGCGGGGTTCGAATCCCATAGTGGACATGGGTTCCTTCAAAATTAAAGATACACTTCACTGACAAACACGACACCTAGATCGAAGACTTCCCGCCGATTACCTTCAACCGTCTAACACAAAGAGTGATATATTGTTGAAAACTAGGTGACGTTTCAAATACAATTTATTATTCATAATCATATTAATATAATCATACAACTTTCTAGCTTGCTTTATACAGCTCTCCTCTCTGTTATGGATTTCATTGACTGATGAAGGCATGTTTTGATTTGACCACTACCACTAGCTCTTTTCCAACCTGATATATGCTATGTCAGCTAACATTGCCTGTTGTCGATGAAGGCGATCGATGACTAGTCATGCATGCGTAACACATATTCTAACCATCTCAAACGATGCAGCTACTTCACAACCTCATCGATTGATTTTCCCACCTTACCTAGCACTAGACCGATGCCTAACCTCAATATTGCTCACCTTATTATGACACAACACGGGTGATGGAATGCAGGCACCTATGATCAAAGACAGCTAGACAGCGTTTTCATTTCTTTCACTTTCGATGGGCATGTCTCACTCACAGCCATAAAGGAGGACGGAGGGA